CGGACCTGACCGGCTGGCCTTCTAAAGCTAGCAGTGTGAGATGATGGGGGACCCAATGTGGCCATTTTCGGCTGGATCAGATGGTGATATCACCGGGAACCACTGGAGGAACAAGTGATAAGCTTAGAAACCTGCACTGATGTCTACTTTTAAAGAGACCCTGTCAACATGTCCATTCAGGTCAATGTCACTGGGGCTACTTAAAGGGATGGTCCACCTTTTGGATCATATGTCATTGTACGCCCATGAAGAATGCTAGCATACACCATACCCAAAAACACAACACTCTTCACCTCTTACCAGAATCACAGGGTGCTTTTTGTTCCTACATTTTTTTTTACATTTAATTCAACATGGCTGTCCATGACTTATCCATTCTCAGGGATTGCTGAATGTTAATACTGACACAGTAGCACCAGCGCCAGCAGGGGGTGATGATATCACAGTTGTAGTTCATTAGGCACTTTCTCCAGCCCCATAATGGAAGGTCTGTACGGATCTGTGGCTGGGTTCATTGCACCCACGACGCACTGATCGCGGTTGCAATGGTCTGCAGGCCTGAGGGCAAAAATGTAATAAATGCATATTTTTTATTTTATCATTGTTGGTGCATTTAGTACACTTTCCAAAGCATGGACCCCCTGACCGCTTTATACTCACCTTCAAAGCACCTCCCCTCTTCTGCTTGTTCCTCCATGGCAGGCCATGCAAAATAATCCATGTCCCCCACCTCTGCCATTAGGCCTAAACAATGCATCATGGATGGAGGTCACAAGCTCCCCTATACCTGGAAGCACTGGGTATGGGGGAGCATGTGTAACCATTCAGACAGGCCCCTGTGCTACAATGCAGACAATGCAATGCATACATTTTCCACGCAATGAGATACAGGGCCACCCAGCTGCAGAAGAATCCATCTGTCAGTCTGTGCAGGCGCCTATAGCTGCACAAGGAGCCGATCAGTTCATGTGCTGACAGGAAGCATGCATTTTCAGATGACTCCCAGATTCAAAGTCAAGGAAAAGACAAATCGCGTCACCGGTCTTAAAATAACCGTTTTTCGTCAGGGACGTCAATGACAGAGCAGTGTTTTATAAATTGCTCCGGATGTTAGGGGAGCCGCGTGAGGATGAAAGTAACCGAATTACTGGGATAGAGTGTGAAAAGACTTCTGATTGCATTTAGCAGCCTCTGAAGGGCGAAGTGAACGCACATGCTGTCTTATTTAAAGGGAAAGTACCCCCGGGGAAAAAATCACCAGTACAGTTACATAATATCAGGTTAGGTGCTTTTTTGGAATTGGTGGAATATTATGCTTTCAGGTCATGGAAACTTTTTTACACCTCTGCGAGTGTCGTAAAACAGCTCGCCCATCGCTTCCTGTGCGGCACGATTTCCTTTTAAACTTTAACACTTCTGCATATAAAGGTTTAGACGGCAGTAACGGAGCAGAGTAAACTGCCTGATCACATGTCCCATAGAGACGCCTATAAAACAATTCAGGCAGCAAATTAAAATATCTTCTATGAGGAAATGTGCCATCAAAATTCCAATTAAAAAAAAAGTGTAATCAGCTAAATATCTCTCATTATAAAACCAGACAGAGCCGTGATAGGAGTGTCTGCTGCGAGGTCTAGGAGTGTCTGCTGCGAAGTCTAGGAGTGTCTGCTGCGAGGTCTAGGAGTGTCTGCTGCGAGGTCTAGGAGTGTCTGCTGCGAGGTCCAGGAGTATCTGCTGCGAGGTCTAGGAGTGTCTGCTGCGAGGTCTAGGAGTGTCTGCTGCGAGGTCTAGGAGTGTCTGCTGCGAGGTCTAGGAGTGTCTGCTGCGAGGTCTAGGAGTGTCTGCTGCGAGGTCTAGGAGTGTCTGCTGCGAGGTCTAGGAGTGTCTGCTGCGAGGTCTAGGAGTGTCTGCTGCGAGGTCTAGGAGTGTCTGCTGCGAGGTCTAGGAGTGTCTGCTGCGAGGTCCAGGAGTGTCTGCTGCGAGGTCCAGGAGTGTCTGCTGCGAGGTCCAGGAGTGTCTGCTGCGAGGTCCAGGAGTGTGTGCTGCGAGGTCCAGGAGTATCTGCTGCGAGGTCTAGGAGTGTCTGCTGCGAGGTCTAGGAGTGTCTGCTGCGAGGTCTAGGAGTATCTGCTGCGAGGTCTAGGAGTGTCTGCTGCGAGGTCTAGGAGTGTCTGCTGCGAGGTCCAGGAGTATCTGCTGCGAGGTCTAGGAGTGTCTGCTGCGAGGTCTAGGAGTGTCTGCTGCGAGGTCTAGGAGTATCTGCTGCGAGGTCTAGGAGTGTCTGCTGCGAGGTCTAGGAGTGTCTGCTGCGAGGTCCAGGAGTATCTGCTGCGAGGTCTAGGAGTGTCTGCTGCGAGGTCTAGGAGTGTCTGCTGCGAGGTCTAGGAGTATCTGCTGCGAGGTCTAGGAGTGTCTGCTGCGAGGTCTAGGAGTGTCTGCTGCGAGGTCTAGGAGTGTCTGCTGCGAGGTCTAGGAGTGTCTGCTGCGAGGTCTAGGAGTGTCTGCTGCGAGGTCTAGGAGTGTCTGCTGCGAGGTCTAGGAGTGTCTGCTGCGAGGTCTAGGAGTGTCTGCTGCGAGGTCTAGGAGTGTCTGCTGCGAGGTCTAGGAGTGTCTGCTGCGAGGTCTAGGAGTGTCTGCTGCGAGGTCTAGGAGTGTCTGCTGCGAGGTCTAGGAGTGTCTGCTGCGAGGTCTAGGAGTGTCTGCTGCGAGGTCTAGGAGTGTCTGCTGCGAGGTCTAGGAGTGTCTGCTGCGAGGTCTAGGAGTGTCTGCTGCGAGGTCCAGGAGTATCTGCTGCGAGGTCTAGGAGTGTCTGCTGCGAGGTCTAGGAGTGTCTGCTGCGAGGTCTAGGAGTGTTTACTACACCAAGTCGAGGATAATAAAATTTTGCATACAAGCATTGATAAAAGTACTACACATTCTCCGAATGGCCGCTGTGCTAAGCGAGTGCCCCCCTTGTGTTTTCAGGGGAAGTGGCTCAGCTCCGTGCCATACAGGACCCGGAATATCCCTGTAAAGCTCTGTAGTAGCTTCGCCTACTGCACTGGTTTACAGGATCCCCGTGGGCCGACCAGGTATAAAGTATGTATACAGACACGGGGCCAAGCTGGATCAATGTACCCATACAGAAGTCTTTTTAGCTGGAGTTCTGTTTTAAGCTGTCTCTGCCAACCTGCTTTTGAAAATGCCAGTTGCCTGGCTGTCTCTGACTTCAGTACTTTCTGAGTCCCTGGCTTAGAACCATCATGCAGCAGTTCCCCTTTCATTTATTGGATTTCATGCCTTTCAATCATGGAGGCTCAGCATCACATGTGGGCGTTACGTAGGGCAGTCTGCATTCCTCCAGACTGACCTCCACCCATCAAGGCATTTTGATATTTGCATAACTCCTCCCAAGAGCCGGCCCATTGCTTGCATAAGGGCTGAAGGCTCTTGAGAGGCGTGGTGAGGCAGGGTACTGTGATGTTTTCAGGAAGCTATGTACAGCACCCTGCTGGTGTTCTGTCGAAATGGCTAACTCGACGAGATCTCACACTCGTGACGTGACATCTGTTAGAGATTTCATTGTGATGTCGCTAGTGCGCGTGCGCCAGCCCTGGCATTTTTACAAGCCTCGTCGATTTCCCCGATTGCCGGAAGTGCGCCTGTGCGGCCTCACAATCCTCATCGAGTTCTCCAACTGGCTTCAGTGGCTGTGCCATCGGATGCCCACGCAGATGCACTATCGCAAATTAGAGATTGTGATACTGCTCTTGGGTGGCCGCGCAGGTGCACTGACGGGAGTTGGAGGTCTCGACAAGTTGGACATCTCGATGGAACACCGGCCCCTCCCACACCAGCCATGAGTGCCTGCATTGCATAGAGAAGGGCGGATACCCAGTGATTACATCGTTACGTCTAAAATATGGCATGAAATGAAAAAAAAAGAAAAGTGTTATTTAAAAATTTCATTGGCATGTTGATGGGGAGGGAGGCAAAAAACTGGAAAACCGGGAGCAGTCAAAAATCAGATTGGTGCACGGCAACCAATCACCTTCTCTCTTTCATTTTCAAAGCTTAACTGAACAAACTGAAGAGAGAATCTGATTGGCTACTACAGACGACTGCTCCTGATTCTGTCTGCTCCAGTTCTGATAACCCATTGTGCTTGTCTAACATACTCGCCGGGTGGAAGAATGCAGCCGTTCAGGTGAGCACAGCTAATGAATTACCAAAGGTCAGCGTTTTGCTGCAGCAGTTCCTCGTATTAACCTTCACACAGTGAGAATGAACATTACGAGCGGTTCACACTTATTGTCTTATCAGCTCAATCAATCTTGTGCTTGTTTTCAGAGAGACCGATAAAGCCGAGAAGGCTGTCTGCATACCACTGGGCAGGTCACTGGCACCGCCGGAGTCCCCTCCACTACTGAAGATCAAGGATCACTTGGAAGGAAAGTGCAAGAGGAGCGCGGTGAAGATGACGGCGGGATCATCGAGGATCTGCAGCTGTGCTCTGAGATGAGATTGGCTTATGGTCGTCGGCAGACTACAATCCCCCCGCTCCTTCATTCATTACCGAGCTGCAGTCACAAGAGCAGGTGGCTGGAATGACTCCACCGTCTCCTAAAGAGGACAAATAGCTGGTGACGTGAGTTTCCTCTGCACCCAATGGCACACACACCGGCGTGACATCACCGCCGCCTCAGCCGTCAAAGTAATGATTACAAAGCAAGCATGCTGTTTTACTGTGTGACACCTATACACTGTAGTCAAATTCCCAGCCCCCGGAGAGATAACATACTTAAGCTCTGCTGCCGATGAGATCTCGTGGATTTGAAGAAATTTTTTCGAAAGGAACCTAAAGTTCTAATTTTTAGTAATTTGACATCTTTAGATTTCATCTATTTTTGCAGAATCTTGTTTTAGATCCGAACCTTTGAGAAGATTTTAAAAGTTTGCTGCTCCTTTTGTTTTGTAATTCGGTGTCACCGATTTTTTTTGTTTTCTGAAGCTCCGAAGCCATGGCGGAAAAGTGCGACTACATCGCCAACATGTACGGCTACGACTTGGGGGGCCACTTTGTGGATTTTAAGCCGTTGGGTTTTGGAGCCAACGGGTTGGTCCTGTCGGCCACGGACAGCAAGAATTCCCGGAAGGTGGCGGTGAAGAAGATAACCATCGGCGACTGCCGGAGCGTGAAGCACGCCTTTCGGGAGATAAAGATCATCCAGCGTCTTAACCACGACAACATCGTAAAGGTTCATGCCGTGTTGGGGCCAAGAGGGGCCGACCTGCAGGGGGACGTATTTAGATACAATGTGGTGTACATCGTTCAGGAACACATGGAAACGGATCTCGCTCGCCTTCTAGAACAAGGTCCGCTCAGTGAGGAACATGCCAAGCTGTTCATGTACCAGCTGCTTCGAGGCCTGAAGTACATCCACTCGGCCAACGTCCTACACAGGGACCTGAAGCCAGCCAACATTTTCATCAATACCGAGGACCTTGTCCTGAAAATTGGAGACTTTGGTCTGGCGAGGATTGTGGATCAGCACTACTCTCATAAGGTATGTCCAGATGCAGGTATATCATGTGCACTTCTATACTGACGTGACAACTTTGCTACAGTAAATCAGATTTTTCTCAGTTTGACTTGGCAAAGACCAATAGGGTCACCTAAGTGGCCTTTGCCAAGCACCCTTTTCATATAGTTCTCTCTGTTATAAAAGTGACCCAAGTTGGAACACATGATTGCTGGTGCTCAAAACTACTCAGCAAATCCATTTACACTATATGATCAAAGGTTTGTGGACATCTACCATCACACCTAACTATATGGCCCAAAAAATGTAGATACCTCTCCAAATGATTGAGTTCAGAAGTTTCCAGTGAAGGGTATTCGTAATTCTACTGAATACAAAGGCATTCTGGGCAATTGTGCTTTCCCAAAAGTTTGGAGAAGACCTTTTTCTGTCCCAGTAGGACTGTACACCTGTACACAAAGCCATAAACACACGGTTTGATGAGTTTAGTAAGGAGGAACTTGAGTGACCTGACCTCCAACCTACTTGGGATGAATTGGAATGCCAATCCCGAGCCAGTTAACTTCAGTCAATATCTGTACCTGAACTTTTGACTGAATGGACACAAATCCCCCCCAGACATGCTCCAAGATCTTGTGGGAAGCCTTCCTAGAAGTGTGGAGACTGTTGTAGCTGCATGGGTCAGTCAATTGTCCACCAAATTTTGTGTGTGTATATATGTATATATATATATATAAGTATACACAGTTCTGGCACCCCTGCATTTCTGTCACATAATGCACCACTTGGCGCAGAAAATTGTTGCCATTACAAATGTTTGGCCATTCTCATGTTTATTTATTTTTTGTCTGTATTGGTATGACACAAAAAAATGGAGAAAAAAAAGCCAAACCTAGCACATTCCAGGCAAAACTCCAAAAATGGATTGGACAAAATTATTGGCACCTTCTCCAAAGTTCAAGAAATAATTGCATTCAGAGTCTTTGTGGAAAAGCAATCTCAAGGTTACAAGTCCATCTCCAGAGATCTTAATGTTCCTGTGTCCTGTGTCCACTGTGCGCAACATTGTCAAGAAGTTTCCAGCCCCTGGCACTGTAGCTGATCTCCCCGGAAGTGGAGGAAAGAGAACAATTGATCAAAGATTGAGAATGCGCTGTGGACAGACGAAACAATGTGACAGCTTTTTGGTGCAGCCCATCATTCTATTGTTTTCAGAAAAAGAAATGAGGCCTTTAAAGAAAAGAATACAGTCCCTACAGTCACACATGGTGGAGGTTCACTGATGTTTTGGGGTTGCTTTGCTGCGTCAGGCACTGGATGTGTGTCATGACTGGGTGCATGGGGTTATGAAGTCTGAAGACTACCAAAGAATTCTGGGGTGCAATGTATCCTTCGTTGCAATCTTTGATCGATTTGATCTCTTTCGTCAGACACAGTGCCATGAGCTGTAAACTTCTTGACAATGTTGCGCACAGTGGACACAGGAACATTGAGATCTCTGCAGATTGGCTTGTAACCTTGAGATTGTCCATGTGTTTCCACAAAAACTCGGAATGCAATTATTTCTTTCCAGTTTTGAGTGGAATGTGTCAGATTTTGGCTTTTTATTCTCCACTTTTTTGTGTCATATCAATACAAACAAAAGAAATAAACATGAGAATGCCAAAACATTTGTAATGGCAACAAGTTTCTGCGCCAAGTGATACATTATCTGACAATGTTGCTACCTGTCTTATTCTTTTAGGTGTTATGCATATAGTGTACAGTATATTAAATCGAACGCTCCCAGTTTACTGGAAACTTTATAGAAGCAGTAATGTTTTGTGGCCAATGTTTATTAACTGTAAAAGAACACATTTTGTTCTTGACATGTTTTGTCAGATGTATAGAAAAACCGGTACTATTACTTTTTCAAGAAAACATATGTAACCCCAGCCAACATTTTTGTTCTTCTGTGTGGGAGATTTCGTCTAATGTTGTGCTTGCAAGGCAGGACGAGAAGCGAAATCTCCCAGCAACAGATGTTCTAATCATTTCCTACAATGCTCAAAGCAAAAAGAAAAGGGTTTAGCTCGAAATACACTTCAAGCCCAGGGCTGGACAATTACCAGGAGCCAGGTAGCCAATGTTCCTTACAAATTTCAGCTGGCACTTACATATAGATCGGAAGCCAACACTTTTTTTCTAGTTCTGGATAGAGTAAGGGAGGGTTATAAGCCCTGCCAGCTTTTTTTTGCCATCTACCGTGTTTCCCCGAAAGTAAGACATCCCCCGAAAATAAGACCTAGTGTCTTTTTTCGTGCAAAAAAAAAAATAAGACACTGTCTTATTTTCGGGGAAACACGGTATGTCCCATTGGAGAGATTTTTTTCACATCCTGTCCAATAGCCACGACAGAAGGTGAGCAGAGATCTCTCCAAAGAGAGGGTGGTCAGCAGAGTCACCGGAACTAGTGTCTCTTTTG